CGCTCTCTCTTAGTGTCCACAGATTCATCTTCAGACCTGACACAGCCTCTGTCTAGGGTCTGCTTGACAGTCCCCACGGCCTCCTCCAACTGCCCTCCAGGGCTTGGCTGGCAGGGGAATAGACAGGGTCATGGGCTGGAAAGTGAGGACAGATGGGGACAGGAATAGCACATGGAAGGGATGGATTTGGGGAAGCACAATCTGAGGATTTCCTATGATGCTAGAGAGCATTTAGGAAGGTAGCCGGGTGAACCGGAATAAGGGCCTGGCTAAAACACCATGCTCACCGGCATCGACGCTGCCACCTTCTGTTGCTGCTGCTGGTCAATCTTGAATAGCTGCACCTTGGCTCTCTTAAGGAGGCTAAACATTTTTTCCTCCACTCCAGACATTGGCAGGGAACTCAGGCCTGCAATCCGTGCCTTTTCCAGTGGCGATATATGTGGTGGTGCTTGTTGCTGCAGTTGTAACTGTGGCTGCACTTGTAGCTGCTGTGGTGGCAATGCCTGGGGCAGCCGCTGGGTTTGCAAGGTCTGCAGAGGCTGCTGTACCTGAGCTTGAGGCTGCTGCCCATTGCTCAGAGCTGGAGGCCCACCATGGGGCACCTCAACCTTAACAGGTGTGGTGACCACAGGGGCAAATCGAGGCAGGCTGAGGTGATTGGTTCGGCCTACTGCCCGAGGCTCAGGCTCAGCTGGAGAGTCATCAGCAGGAGGCGGCTCTGGTTCAGGGGCTTCAGGAGCCCCAAGAGGAGGGGTAGTAAGCACCGATTCATAGATCTTCAGGTGGGCTTCACTCGGGGTAAACTGAGCAGCCCGAAGGAGCAGGGGCCTCCGGGAGGGGGTGGCAGGGGCAGGTGGTGGGGATGGGGCAGGAGGGGGGGCAGGGGGAGGAGGGGGTAGTTCCCGGGTTAGTGAGGTCCAACGAAATGTGGGTTCCCTTAGGATGGATCGCCTCTTCTCAGGAAGTGGGACTGGGGTAGATGGGGGAGTTGGGGCACGTGGTGGAGATGGAGCTAGTGCTGGTTCTTGGGGAATAAGTGGGGAGGTGGCTACAGAAGGTCGCAGAATAGGTGAGACCTCCACCTTTGGGGGCTTGGGAGGGTCTTCATCCATAAATCGCCGGGGTGTCTTGATGACACGGGAGGAGCGGGCACTCACCACAGGCATAATAAACTGCCGGATATTCTTCAGGAAGGTGGTACTTTTAGGGGCCACAGTGGGACTGTCTTCCAAAGGGCCTCCTGTGGTTGTGCTGGGATTTGGAGTGGGAGGAGAAGTGCCCTCTGGCCCTGCCCGAGCAGCTTCCCGCTCTGCCCGCTGGCTAGGAGTCAGAGGAGGCCGGCCCCTCTTCCTGGAGGATGTAACAGGGACAGCAGGAGGAGGGGACTCTTCTTGTTGCTCCTCTGGGGCTGGAGGTGGTGGAGGGGATGATATGGGAGGGGGGGACACTGGAGGTGGCAGAGGGCAAAGTGGAGCTGGAGGAGATGCAGAGGGGGGCAGGAGGGGTGGAGATGGAGGAGATGGAGGGGCTGGAGGAGTTGGTGGCGGTGATGGTAGCTTTGCTTCTTCCTTTTCCTTGGCCAGTGTCACCTCTTCCTCAACCACAGTTCTTTCTTCCTTCTCTCCTTCCTCCTCATTTTCTTCTTTCTTCTCCTCTTTCTCCTCCTCCAGCTTCTGCTCCGGCTTCTTCCAGCAAGGACTCCCTCCCTGTCCAGATCCAATTTTTCTTTGGGGGTCATCCTGCCAGCTTTCTCCAGGTTGACCCTGACCTGATTCAAGTCCCAAGGACAACTGTCCCATCTTCACTTTTTTGGCCTTGGAAACAAACTTGATCACGAGGGGAAGCCCACCTCGGCCTCTGCCCCTGCCTCCACGGCCTCCTCTCCCAGACTGTCCTCCACGTTTAGGGGTCCCAGGTCCTGGGCCAGGACCCTCCTTGCATTTCCAGCTGCCAGTTCGGTGTTTTACTGGAACCACAGGAGGTGGGGGCTCAGGTTTAGGGATTGTCACAGCTGCTTCTGCTACTACTACTGCTTGTTGCTTCTTCCGGCTGGGGCCTGCTGGTCGTCCTGGGGGCCGTCCCCGAGACCGACGAGGGGTGGAAGGCTCACATGCCCGGCTGCGGGGGGCGGGGGGTGCCTGGGCCCGCCGGAGAAGTTCAGTCAGTGCCTGCACCATCCGTTCTGTGCCCTCCTCACCCCGTTTTCGGGCAGGGGTCTTTGGGGGGGCAGAAGCCACATCTGCTAGGCGAGGAGGAAGGGGGGTCGTCTTATGCTTGCGGCCCCGACCTCGGGGGGCTCGACCTAAAAGGAGAATAGGTGTGAGGAGACAGGTCAAGCTGGCCCTGCAGACTGAAGAAGGTGCATTGGGAGGATGGGGATTAAGTCTCAACTATTTCTCCCACAGCCCAACCTAGCTTAGACTCTAAACACGGAACACACTCAATAACTGATGGAGACTAGTTAAACAGGGAGAGCTAACACAAAAGGTGAGAATAACATTCCTGTGAAGCTATGGAGGTAGAGTTTCCCCATCACTCACCTCGCTGGGATCGGAGCGCAGAGCGCAGGGAACTGGGGGCCACATCTTCATCTGAATGAAAACCCTGAAACTCCTGATTTAGGTGACCAGGGGTGGAGGGAGAAACAGCAGTCAGTGCCAAAGCCCTGATTCCACCTGGGACTCAGGTACTGAGGAATAGCCCAGCTTCCCTCTTAGCATATTCCTGCTTAATTATAAACAAACTAAAAAACTGGAACTCAGAAAGGAATAGAAAATGGGTCTCTCCCCAGGGATAGAGGCACAAGCCATCTTCAACTCCCTTCCCGAATGCAGGCCACAGCAGCACAGCCAATACTGGTCTGCTGGCCCAGAGGAAAACACAACAGGATCTCCTTGGGTCAGGCAGTAGGCCCTCCACAGTTAGGGCCAAACTTATTCAGAACAAAGAGGGGCCTCTATTACACCTTTTCAGATTATAGTTTCTTCTTGAATAAAGATGGGAATATAGACATCTAAGTCGGGGGGGGGAGATAAAATGGTTTACTTTTTGGGGACCCATTATGGGCCCTCCGGTGATTACTAACTGTTGTAAGCAATACAACCCATCCATACTTTCCTACCTTTTCTGATGGGCTGGGGGACAAACCCTGAGCTGAACGCTGACCTGCCAGACTTAAAAACTCAGTTTTCGTTTCATTCATTTTTAACCTGTGTGCCAAGAAGCAACCCTACACTACTCTGCCTTAATGGACTTGAGGAACTGAGGTACTGGTGAAACCAAGGATGTGTCAGAGTACGAAGCGCAGCAGGGCAATCCACAGGTAAGACCCCAGGCGGCTCCAGTCCAGGTCCACCAAAGCCATGCTACTGCTGTCAACCATCACTGGTTGGGCATGCAATCCCCACGGCCTTCTCACCCACACGTCTCTACTGCCCTAACTTTGCTACCAAGAAAGATCAGCCCAGGATATTTCAGCAGGCTCTGCTTTGAGCAGGACGCCTAGCTACAGCTGGAGCTTCTCTCCACTTTCACAAGCTCTATCCACCCAAAGCTCCGCGCAGCCCACCTTCCTGCAAGTCTGTTTCCAGGACCTTCTCCGCGCAGGAGTCCTCAGGTCCCTGCTTCCCACGCTACCTTTTGGGGCCACCCCGAACCCTGTAAAGCCCCTGCCTCCGCCCCGCCCGGCGCCGGGGACGCCTCCGGCCGCCTCACCTCATCGTCGGATTCCCCGTCACTGCTCTCCTCCTCCGGCATGCAGCTCCGGTTCGGGCCCCAGCCACGACCTCGGCCCCGGCCCCGGCCACGCTGAAGGCGCGGGCCGGCCCACAGGCGGCGGAGCCGGCGCAGGCCCCGGCGGAGCCCCAGCAAACGGAGCAGGGCCGTGTCTTCTCCGGGCTCGGCTCCGCCCGGCCCCGCTGCGCCGCTACCGCGTCGCAGAGCTACTCGTACTCTTTCGGCCCCGCTGCCCCGTCCGCCGCGGCCCCCGCCCCCGCCGGAGCCCCGCGGCCGGCCTGGGAAGCGGCCCCGCGCGGAGCCAGGCCCAGGGCAACTGCCGCCGCCCGCCGCCGCCGCCATCTTGGCACCGTGAGAGGGGCCGGGGAGGCGGGGGGAGGGGCGGCCCGTGCGCAGGCCGGGGGGAGGGGCGCAGAGGAGGGGCGAGGTGAGGTGGGCCGGCTGCGGTGCCCGACAGACAGCGCCGCCGCGAGGCACCACGGGAGTGGGAGTCTGGGGCCGGCGGCCGTCACTCTAACACCGCACCTGGAAAGCATAGACCCTGTGCCTTGGCCGCGGCGCGGCAATCCGCAGGGGCCTCCGGGAAATGTAGTTTACATGCCCTGCTCCTTCCGCGGGGAGATGGAGCTCAAGACCCGGGACTCCTAGGTCTCTAACCAGCACCAGGAAAGCCAGTTCCGGGTCTCCGGAAGGTGTGGCCCTCGGCCCAGGCTCCTCCCATTGTTCTGGTCGGAGCCTGCGGCCAACATGGACTACTGGTCCCAGCGTGCCGCAGGCTTCAGATCCTGAGAACCCGGCTGATGCTAGGATACCTAATCGGCCACTACCCGGAGGCGTGGGTCGGGAAAGGGACGATGCAGAGGGTTAGTCCCAGCTCCAGGCGTGATTCTGAGGCGGTTCCTCTTGGGGCGAAGAAAAGGTGCCAGAGAAGCGCGTCTCACGGGTCCTGTGCTCAGAGGCAAGCGGCCGAAAGCGGGATGGAGCACACATTCCTCTCTAGCCCTGGGCCGGCCGCACCTCGTTTAGCCCGCCCATCGAGTACTGCTGTGAAAGAGGCCAGTGTCTTTGAGGTCGCATAGCCACCCTCCGCCCGCAGCCCCGGGCCTGTTGTGAAGTTGTTCAGGACACTGAGATCTTGAGAAATGACTTCGGAGAACGGAGCGCCCCGGAAAGTGCACGGTGCGCGGACATGCACCACCAGGGGCCGCTACAGGACAAGAGACTTGGCTTGGAGGGTCTCCAAGCACGGAGTACAGTCTGGATTCGCCTTTCTTTTCCTGTGCTGACCAGATAGCACCGGAAATTCTTTATTATGGTGATGTAACCAACAGAACCTTTACAATTGATCTCTGGAGCAAACATTAGTGCCCCGGCCTCACAGAGGATGGCAGGCCCAAGCTTCTGCCACTCGACTATCCGGTAGAGGGCTCTCAGCGCCTGTCCCGCGATGCTTCTGCGACCGAATTTTGCTAGGCCGCTGCCGCAGCGATTCCGGCTCAGAAGCCGAGGTGGCTCGCATTTCACTCACAGAACTCTTGACAGAGGCCAGAGAAGTTCAGGTGGTGGAAGAGAAGGGACCAAGCGAAGTCACAGCCCGGGACTCCCTCGAGGAGGAGTAGAGGAAAGTGGAGCGAATGGACCATCCTGGCGGGAGCTGGCTGGGCGAGTGGCTGCGCATGTGTGCCTGCATAGATGCCAGGCTGGGGCATCCCACCCTACACAGAGGGCAGCGATAGGGAGCAGCCCCATGCGTCCTCAGATGCTTGGTCATGGCGGAGAAGTCCCGGGAGCGCTGAGGACACAGGCTACAGGAGAAGGGTTTCTCTCCTAGGGTGAGCAGATGGGGAGGCCAAAGAAGAAGGAAAGAAGGGGCAAAGGCTGGTCAAATTCGGGGTACACAGGGCGACTGGGGGAGGGAATTGCGCCGTAGCTGGGGAGAGGAAGTCACACCGGGAGTGGTACCCATACCTGTGTGGACTCGGTAGTGCGTCTCCAACTGATGCTTGAGTGAAAACCTCTTCCCACAGACAGAGCAAGAATAGGGCCGAGACCGAGCAGGAGTGGGTGGAGTAGGGTGTTGGTGAGATGAGGCACTTGCTGTGCCCTCCTTATCTATACAGGTTGCCTGTTGGCCTGTGTAGACAGAGAAGTCACAGCACTACAGGGCTAAGAATCCCACAGCCAAAATCACTGGAACATTCAGGCAAGACATTAGGAGCACTCTGGGCCTGAGGCAAAAATGCCCTTATACTCACCGGTGGGCCCCTGTCCAGACTCTTCCATCTCCCCAGGGCTGAGCTGCACAATGTCCTGGGGGAGGGAACCTGGAGAGAGCAGGTAGGAGCTACACTGGACTCTTGGAGTCCAGACCCAGGGAAGGACCCTGTTTCAGGACAGAGAAGGGCTTACCTGGGGCAGGGCTGGAGGAGACCAACTGGTTCTGACTCCAAAGCCCTTTGGGGTGGTTCAGGGTCACTGAGATCCTAGGGGTGGGGGTAAGAAGAATTACAGCCTTTGCAAAAGCTGAAAGCCTTGCCAACCCTGGTCTGTTCCTCATAAATGGAGATGTTCTGAGTCCTTTTGGGAGGCTGGACCTTGGCTTCCTCTGTGGTGGGAACTTCACGTTCCAACCCCAGTTCAGGAAATGCACAATAGAAGTAATGGATGTGGTGCTTCCACCTATCTGTGACCTCTCCAGGGCTACTTCCTCCCATCGTAGTCTTCCACTAGGCCTTTCACTCACCTCTGATTCTGAGGCCAGACCTCCTGCCAGCCTCCAGTGATGGGGGTGTTATGGGAGAAGGGAGTGCCATATCTGGGCGGCCACAGCAGGATGCTCCACAGGGAAGGCTGGCCTTCCCGCAGCCAAGGGGCCTCAGCCCACCAGGGTCTGGAGATGACTGTGTTTTGGAAGGGACCTGGTAGGGGAAGGGGACTAGGGAACTCCTGCAGACTTCTCTGAGAGCTCCCTGGGCTCCCTGTCACTCTGAGCACTACTTGTTTCCCATCTGCTCCCCTGCGGCCAACAGGAACTTGCCTGGGTTTCTCCTCTGACCTCATCTCCCCTTGAGCCTCCTGTATTGCCCCTGTCATCTCAGGGCTCTTTCTTGGTGGCTTGTGCTTGTGCAACTTCTGTTCTCTCCCACCGAGTCTAAAAACCTTAGCTGGGTTTTGCTTCTTTCCAAGTTGCCCCAGTCCTCTCTCAGAATCCATTGTATGTTCCTCTGGCTCTTCCTGATGTTCCTTTTTTGGCTCCTCTGGATCCAGTTGTTCTTCATTCTTGTCTCTTCGAGCCCTCCTGCAGGCCTCTTCCAGGGCCTGTACCCCCAAGACCCTGGCTGCCTCTTCAAGGGGTCCCAGCTCTCCAGGCTGCAGCTCTACACTCTCCCCATAAACAAAGCTCAGAAGCTGGGCAAAGGTGGAATGGCTGATGCCTTCTACCAGAACCCACTGGCCTCTGCACCCCAGCTGCTGGCTCACACCTGCTAGCACCAGGCTATGAGCAGGAAACTCCTGGCCCTCTACAGTGATCACGGTATCACACAATGCTGGCCGAAGCCTGGCTGCAAGCCGCACTAACCGATCAGAGCCATAAGGGCTAAACAGTCTTGTGGAGGGCAAGGGCATTATGCCTTGTCTGAATATCAATCTCAGAGACTCTTGAAAGAAAGGCTATAATGTGGGGGCCATGGCAGAAAAGGGAGGGAGGAACAGTATGTTCTCAAGCCTGTGGAGGTGAGGAGAGAAAGAATGAGTTATAGGTCCTAGATTGTAGCTGTCATGAATGGAGCGAATAAATACAGAAAATAAAGTGACCCAAGAGAAGACCTAAGCTTTATTCAGAAGTATAACAGGAGCCAGCAGTTGCCAGCAGGAACTAGGGACGTGGTGTTAAAACATGGAAATTAGATTAAAAAAATCAAGGGTTAAAAACAAAAGCCAGGCAGTTAACAGAAATATCAAGCAGTATTAGTGTAGATTTAAAAAATGACAAGTGTAAGATGGCAATCCAAGGCTTAAAATACAGCAGCCATAGATACTTCTGCTTCTCTAAGTCAATCTGCAAAGAAAAACCTCTGAGCAAGCTGGGCTTTCCTCATTTCAGGCAGAGGGGTTATCACAAGATCCAGTCAACCCAGGCATTTAGGCATAGAGCAAAACAGCTTCGTGGGAGAGCTTAGAAATCCACTATGTGGTCCTCCAACAGTTTCATGTGGAGCGCATCATGCTGGAAAGTCAGAGGCAGCAAGATGCATCATGGCTGCAGGAAGATTGACCCTAAGGCATCATTCAGTCATCTCCCTGAGGTTGAAGCTTCTAAAATGTATTTACAGAGGAGCTGGAGGAGACCAAAGACTCCCATCTAGTAAGTTTAGGCAGATTTAGAAGCCAGAAAGGCTCCTGATGCAGTGATACAGAGAGAGGTTTTAGAGGCAACTTTGATGGCTGAGGAAGTAGGAAGAAGAGGAGTAGGAACTGTCTAGAGGGAGGTTATTTCCTTTCAAGATTAGGACAAGAAAATAGTTTAATTTTTTTTTGTGTGTGTATGCCAAAAAGTGAGTAGAAAGGACCCAAGAAATCAGGAGTTAATACCATTATTTTTACAAAGAAAACTGGGAACCTAGATACTATAAGAAACAGAGCCTAAGTATTTAAGCACCCAGCAGGCATAGCTGATGCAGGTTCTCCATGAGTGAGTCCCTTGTAGGAGAGAGGCTTACTGCTTGGATGCCTCAGGAGAGGGCTATAGGTTGGCAAAGAGTGGACAGAAAGCATAATGGGAGAAAGGCCTTGGCTGGGGAAAAGCAACACTTACCAGTAGTAGCTGCCTCCTAGAACCACATGCTCTGAACTGCTGGCTTGCTACTGCCCCCCTCCCCCAAAGCTAGCCCCGCCTCTGACCTTAGTCCTCCATTGGATGTCCTGGGTATCAGTCTGCCCCCAGCCCCCCAGGGGGTGTGGTCTTAAGTCCCTGGCTCTGCTTTACATCTGCAGGACAGATCACACCTGTTTCCAGAAGCCAGATGTTCTGCCTACTAGCTGCCTGCCTCTTCATTTGTCAACTCCTAAAGTGTAAGAAGTAAATCTGTGGCAGTAGGGATTCTGGAATAATCAGACTTGCATTTTGAGTCTCATCTGCTGTTTTCTAGTTGAGTCACTTTGGGCAAGTCACCTCTTTTGAGCCTTAACTACCTCATTCATGAAATGAGGATAATCTCTGATCACCTCTGTTGAAGATGGGATGAGGATGAAATGACAAGAATATGAAAATTATCTCTGTAAGTATATAGCACCATTCAAATGGCATTGGAGGTGGCAAGGAGCTGTAGTAGCTGGAAGCTGTTTCTACTGTCTCAGCAATACACAGATGGAAATATCTGCATTCCAAAGAGGGTGTAAAGGAAGGTCAAGAGCATGGCTGTGCCTCCCTTACTCAGTACTGGGAAGCATTCCTTGCTCTGTGGGAATGAACTGCATTATCTGGACGGCTTTTGAGGAGTGTGTGTCTGTGACTCATCCTTCTGGCTCTGAAGGGGGCAACCCCAGCAAAGGCTGTGGTGGTCTTTGCAGAGAAAAATTTCCTTTTCTTGGGCTGATGACAAATGACTTCTCTGAAATTAGGACTCAAGTTTCTTTCACTTCCTGCCCAAGGGGTCAAAGTCTCTGGAGATTTCCCCTCTTTTCACATTTTAGCATTCTTTAATCTGAAGACAAAATAAGGCCTGGAAGGCTCATATTTCTTTTTCTGTTTCTTACTGTATTATCACTGAGCCTGTAGCAAATTTTTGATTCATTCAACATATGTTGACAAAGTAGTTATGGTGTGTACCTGGCACATCATATATGCACAATAAATTATTAGGAGACAACTCAGGTACTGGTGGGCAGCTGTAGTGACAAGACACAGTCTGGTTTCCCCTAGGTTTCTCCTTTAGATCCTGGTCCTCTCCAAGATCCAAATACTATTTTCTCTAGGCTCTCTTTTTAAATCTTTGACTTTAGGACCCCAAAATGTTCAGGACTTTCTCTGTCCAGATCTAAAATGCCTTCCCTCTCATTGTAGTTTGGGTGTGGGCAAGTGTTAACCCTTCCTAGATCAGACAGGGTGTGTCAGTGGGTGAGGCTGGTGGAGGGGCAATAGAGTGGGGAGAGGGGAAAATGAGTCAAAGTGAAAGGAAAAATGCAAATGGGCAGGCTGTATTCATGTGCTACTCTGAGCCTAAGAGAGTTTCCATTTCTGAGCTTTCTAACTGCTCACATCACCACACCCAGGGACTCATTAGTTACCCACATAATAAGAGACAGATAAAACATCAGTCCTGATATGTATGCAAACAGGGCCACATCCATCTTCTAAGAAAGAAATACATAATCCCTGAAGACAAGGAAGACATGGGGAAAACCAGTAGAAGAAACCCCAAGTAGCGAAGGACAGGTACAGAGCTCTGGAATACTGTACCATCACCTAGTGGAATGTGATACCCGTACTTTCTAACCCCCTCCAACATGTGCCTGTGACTCAGCTACCCTATTACTGTGGTTTTTTCCCACTGATGATTAAGAGTTGGGGACTGTGATCAAAGGGCAGCAACCTCAAAGCCAGGGAGGGTCACTGGGCTTTCGGGGGAACCTAAAAGGCAAGAGAGGGTTAAGGGGATTCCCCACTGAATGAAAAGCCCCCAAGAAGGGAAACCTCATCTTGCCTCCCACTTAGTGTCTACCCCACCTCAGGATATCCCCTTAGAGAGGGCTTCCTTAAGAGTTACTATGAATGAGGGCCTCTGCATCTCAGCCCTTAAGCTACAGACACTCCACTTCTTTAGCTTCTGCCTACCTTGGCAGTATAACCCAAGTCATCCTGAGCTAAGCACTGACAGCAGAAGCACTTTGACTGGGAAGCATAGAGACACTGCTGACATGCTGTTTTTAGAGGTTCTCCCCTATCTGGCCTCAAAAATCATGTTTGCCTTCCATTTTCCAAGATGACTCAAAAGGACTCACTTGCAGTTGTCCTCTTGGGGTACAGCCTGAAAACGACAGTTTAAGAGGACACAAGCCTCCATCCTGGCAGATGGTAAAGTGGGTAGGAGAGATTCAGCACTGGAGCGCATACATGAAAAAAGAAGTGATTTCTGCATCTCTGTCTCTTTAATACTCATTAAATCAAGTATGAGGTCTGATTTTTTTTTTTTTCAAGGGTTAGGGTACTGGGATTGAACCCAGGGCCTTGTAAATGAGATAAATCTTCAGCCCCTACTTTGTGCTTGCCAGGCAGGCACTTACACCACTGAGCTAAATCCCAGGCCCCCGCCCTTTTTATTTTTAATTTTTGGGACAAGATCTTTCAAAATAGTTAAAATTAACCAGGTGGGGCTTGAACTTGCCATTCTCCTGCCTCAATCCTCCAGAGTTGGTGTCATAGGGATGAATCACCATACCTGGCTCTTTATTCTTATTGATAGACTTGACTCATGAGACAGTAAAGAGTAAATGTATGAGGTGCTCATTTTCAGGAAAAGTTGTCTGGCTGAAAAGTCAGAATTTTCCAGAAATCCTTATATCATAAACTCAGCGTGATATAATATCACAACAGCAATACGAAAATCAAATATATGTAAATATTAAGACCACCAGAACAGGGGCTGGGGATACAGTTCAGAGGCACAGAGCCTAGCAAGCAAGAGGTCATGAGTTCAATTCCTAGTACCAAAAACAAAAACCCACCAGAACAGATCAAGGATTATTTGTCTAATGAGAAAATGTTCTCCCATTCCTCAAAAAACTAGGACTAGAGGTCCCATGTGAGCCAGCTATTTCCCTTCTGGGTATCTTCCCAAAAGAATTAAAAACATCATGCTACATTGATACATGTGCACCCATGTTTATAGCAGCACAATTTGTGATAGCTAGATCGTGGAGACAACCTAAATGTCTATAGACTGAGGAATGGATGAACAAGATGTGGTATTTTTATACAGTAGAGTACTGCTCAGCCATAAAAAAGGATAAACGAGAGTTTTAAGGTAAATGGAGGTAACTTGAGACCATACTTATAAGGGAAATAAAGCAGACATATGTATAAACATTGGATTGTCTCACTAGTGTGAGATGCTGAAACAACATGTATATGTATATATATGTATGTATATAAAATAATTAAGATAGTTATACTATTTTTTTTTTGTCTTTTTCCTTTTTATGGGGATCGAACTCACAACTGCCTGCTTGCAAGGCAGGCGCTTATGCCGCTGAGCTAAATCCCCAGCCTTGATAGTTACACTATAGATTTCTCTGAGTTCATTGAAGAGAAAGATTTGTGCTGCTGTTGTTTAGTCAACTGAATGCAGATGTCTTGTGCTCTGGGTGAATGATTTGGGGATGACAATGTGCAGTGTATATACTTTTGTTGCCCCCGATTGATGTATCTTGAACTTTTTTTTCTTTTTGAAGGAAAATGGACTTGAAAACAAATCCCAGCTTTTTGTAAGTTGGAGGTTGAAGGGAGGGTAGAGAAATTTTTTAAAAATTTTAAGAATCAAGTTATATACAGGTACAAATTTTCTAAGATGACTGTGATATATATAGGAATGTACATATAAAATGTACCAATAAAATCTCCTTTCACCTGATTAATTTTAAATATTAAACATACTTCCCAAACCACATTGAACAAGATTCAATTTTTTTCTATTTTTGTAGTACTGGAGCCCAGAGCCTTATCCTGAGCTACACCAGATTTAATTTAGAAAAGTTATCTTAGGAAAAATTTCACCAAGAAACATATCTCAGACCATATATAAATGTGCTGAAACTCTACAAATTTTAGAGTAATTGCCCAAACCTGACATAAACTTTCAAGATGTTTGTTCTTTCTAGTTAAAGTACATCAAACTTACCAAAGGAGATACCAGTCACCACAGGATGAATTAATTCCTTTCTTCCCTTAAACCTATGCTGTATATAACCGAAGAACCACATGGTCATACCTAGGTTAGCTGACTATAGGTCACAGAGACTCTGATTGTAGCACAGCTTTTGTGGGATTATATGCAAAAGGA